CTGATTTCTATGTAGATTTACTTTAGAATTATCAACCTACTATTATGCTTTCATGTCAGTTTCCTCCTCTGCTATTATATCTACTCAGAGTGTTGTTAAATATGGCTGCAATCAAGGTAATTGCAACGCTGTTTGATATTTTGACATGGAAATAGAAGTTGACCTCTCACTCTGCTGTGTTTCCCTTCACTGGAATTAGCAACTGCACAGGCTTGTGTTTGTTTTAAGAATGCAAAGCATATTCAAAAAATATGACATTTTATTTTCCTTGTTTAAGCATTCAAAAACTATTTCAGTAGCTAAATTTTTAGGGATCAGTGATGTGTTTTCTACCTTTACATAATAACACTTCTTCAGTGGGATACAACAAATGATTGTCTGCCAAATTAATGTAGTCAGCCCATGGGATACATCAAATAAGAGTTAATCCTTCTGGATTGTGACCCAAATGTGGAAGAGTTTCCTCCCCTTCTCCCACCTGAGGGCATCCTAGCTGCTGCACTTCCATGTTTCTTTGCATGCCCCTCTGTCTGTCTTTGATCACAAAAGCATGAACATTCACAAAGCTAGCCATGAAATGTATAAGACCATTCAAGGATTTTATAATACCTGAGGTCTTTATCCTTTTTAATCTCTTCTAGTTCTACTTTCTAAGCCATTGTGAGTTCTCTCACAACTCACTGTCTCCACAGTCACTTGCATCGTCTCTGTGGACCAATTGCTGGGTGAAGGGTTAATAGGATTGTCATAGGCTGCTGCAGCTTGTCCTTTGTGCTGGTGGCAGCAACAACTCCATAGCTGCTGTTCTTTGCTTTTTCGAGGCTCTTTGGCACTCATATGACTGGTACTTTGTAACTGCTGGGTGTTGGGGCTGCACTGGGTGAGTCTTGTTGAGATGAAAGAGGCTCGTAGACAGGCTTTACAAGGTCTCTTCTATTGCTCAGGAATGGTCTGTCCCACTGATCTCCACCCCTTCTAGCTGTGGAAAAGATGCTATTATTCCATGTCATCATCTCAGTTGTTACAGCTTAGTCAGGGCTAATATATCTGTCTGCTTCTCCACTGCTCAGATCTGGTGTCTTTAACTCCCTTCTAAATTTCCCCTTCAGACAGAGCCTATATAAATTGAAAAGGGAAGAGCAAGCCCTTAGAAAACAATGGGAGGAAGAGAAGCTGGGGCATTTTTTTCATAGTGTGTTCTTCCTCTCACCAAAATATATTGACTTAAAGTCAAGAAAATGTAAAAGGTTTTTAAAAAGTTAAACATGTTACTTTTTTTATTGTGGCAGTGTTTCTTCCAAATCTGAAATAGATTTTTTTTCCCCAGCTAAGTTATCTTTCCTATTTTTATGATGAATTTAAAGTGCAAATTTGTATCTTTGGATATACATCTTTTCGGGATTTTATGTTATTGAAAGCCTTCCATAATCATTATCTTTTCAGGTTGTAGTCCATGTCAATAACTACATGGAATATTGTCCTAAGATACAAACTAATATGCTATGATGATTTGGTAAATGGGAAAACAATGAAATGAACAATTAGAAATGGAGTGACAATATTTGCTAGATACGATCAGTCATTTTTGTGTTAGTGCTCGCATTTCTACATTCACAAAATATTTGTGCACTTTTAAAGTTTTGGTGAATTCACTGGCCAGATCATTCTTTTTTTAATAGTTACATGTTTAAAAACTAGTAATCATGACTTTTTATAGTTGATGGAGAATGAATGTAGCCCAGTGGAAGAAAACAGAGAAAAATATCAGATCTGATTACTAAAACGCTCTTGGTCACAATTATATGGCATGTTGGACTCACAACTTGGTAGACTCTAAACATGCCATAAGCCATGCTTGATGGTGAAGACCTTTTTAGGCAGGCACATTTACTAGTACCTTGCTTTGTTATTTTGTCTTGGAGATCTTCTTTATGATGGTTTATTCCTGATTATAAGTCAGATTCTGGTGTTCTGCCCTGCTCTAATTTTGGTGAATCTTCTAAATGGAGAAATGTCTGGTTTATATGCAAAGGATCAGAATGTTTCCTAAATCTGTAGAGAATGTAGTAATAATGTTGTAACATTACTAGAGGGAGCAGAAACATTTTCAGTCCTGTGCATAAGTGTCCACAGTTAGCCATGATGATACCAAATAATGAACCGTTTGTACAACCCAAGCTCTGCTATTTCATACTTGCATTGTGATATTGCATACAAATATATAAGAGCCAAGGTTTGCGTCACAACACATATTGTATCCCTTGCTTCCCCCCCCACCAGTTTTTCTTATTTTTAACTAAAATACATGTGTTAAGCTTATTGAAACTATTTATTGTTGCTTTAATGGAAAAACATGCCATTTTGATTTTGAACAGTTTGTTTTGTTTTAATGCTTACAAAATGTGGTTTAGTTAACTGTAGAAATATAAAAATCAGATTACAATGAAGCGGTATCTATGAACACAAATCTGATTTCAGATACTGTAGATTTTGTTGTGTAAAGGAAACTGCTTATTCCTGGTTTTCTAGTACATTTTTTTTATTATGAGTGAGAAACCTAACCCCTTATGAAGGAGTATCATCTGATAGTACTTTATTTAATGGAGGATGAGGACAAACAACAGGTACTATGATGTATTCCCCTGTTAAATCCACTACATCAATATAGGAACAATGAATGTTCCATACTATTTTTCAACTTTCTGTGGCTTGATTTCCTTTTAATGAGCTCATATTTCAGCTAGTACAAGTAAACCAATGAGGCAATTTCTCCCAAGTTGGGTATGAAGTAGATTTTAATGCTTGTAGGTAATAAGAATACTGCATACATAATTAATTAGATTTATCATGGGCAAAAACAGCCAGTGGAATTTTTCAATTCCACATTAGAAATAGGATGGGCATGTATAAATTCTTCAGAAAGGCACTGGATGGGATAAATATGATTTTTTCTGTTTTCCAGTTTTCATTTCTCTGCTACTTTGTTAAATACATTTCTAAATCAAGGATGGTGTGGATGGTGCTTCATGGCCCTCTGGTTGTTTTTGACCTCTATAACTATTAACTCTGGGTACCATTGCCAATGGAAAGGAAGTATAGGAACTGCAGTTTGAGAATAATTGAACAGTAACACTCCTGCCCAAAACAAGATTATGTTGATAAAATAAAACTTCTAGTATGCCAGACTGAAAGATAGAAGTTGAAAAGTATTCATACTGGTGGTAGCCTAGATCAGTAGTGGCGAACCTATGGCACGGGTGCCAGAGGCGGCACTCAGAGACTTCTCTGTGGGCACGCACACCGTCGCCCCAGTCCTAGTCCTTCAGCTGGGTTTTATAAAACCTTTTCGCTTTAGGCCTCCGCCGCCGTGTGCAAATAAAAAAAAGGTTCAATCAATCAGTCAATTTTAACTTCTCGCAGAAAAAAAAAGATCTTGCAAAGTTGAAATTGATTGATTGAACTTTTTAGTCCTACCCAGTCTTCCTTTACCACTGCAGCCACGCCCACCCAATGGGTCACACCCACCCAATGGGCCACACCCAGGCAATGGCCACACCCACCCAGCACCCGATGATGCATAAGTGGGTTTTGGGTTGCAGTTTGGGCACTCAGTCTCTAAAAGGTTCGCCATCACTGGCCTAGATCATTGCATGAAGAGAAACCTCTGGAGAATGTTCACCTATTTTGCAAATATAGTATTTGCTTTTCATGAGTATTCTGAAGGACTGAGTTGAGTTTCCTGGTGATGGCTCTTGTTTTGTTTAGTTAGATCTTTGAAGTATGAAATCATAACATCTCTAAGCTTGAAGTTTGGTTATAAACAATAAAGCAATGATCTCAACAGTTTAGCATTTATATTAATACATTTTGCCAATTTGAAGCTGCAGAAAAGTTCTGTTAAAGAACCTTAATAGAATGTCAATGTGTCATTGATAAATTTTAAAACCTGCTTATTCACCAAATGTCAGGATTAAATAGAGAGACATTATGGAGAACATTATTAGTTAATCTTAAACTATCTATTTTATGTATACTTTATACTATATACTTATATATATATATATAGTGTGTGTGTATGGAGAGAGAATACTTTAGTTAACTAGAGAAATTCTTGTTGAATGGGTGCTGTTAGGTGAACGGAAAAAATAGATGACATCACAGGAAACCTGAGACATACTTATTTTTTTAAAAAAATATGTAGATTGTTATATATTTTCCAAAGGAAATATGTAAATATAGCTTTTGAATTTAGTATATTGTCACTTAGTCTTTAAAAGTAGTTCCTTTCTATTTTGATATATCACTAAAATATTAGGTAAAAATTGTCAAGAAATAACGGTGTGCCTTATATGGCAATCAAAGTGTTTTCACTATTGAAAGGGCTTGTTTTACAAGAAAACAGTTCATTAAGAATATTTCAATGAGGCAAGCTGTGATCCATATGAGATTTTATATAGTGGTCAGTGTTCTTATTTCAAGACATTATCTCTACTGGAGCAAGGGAATTCTTTAAAACCTCTGATAGCATTGGTGCCACATAAAATCATGTTTGAAAATTATGTATATTCAGCTGAAATTTCAATCAATGGAAGGAATTTGATTTGTATTTTTTCAGTTATGTTTTTCACTCTCTTTCATTTTTTAAAATAATCTTTTAAAAATTAAATTAATATAGAATATTTGCGTAGTGAATTTTATTGGCACATAAAATAGCAATTGTACCACCAAGCTGTGCATGCTTATTATTGCACATTAACACAAATATCTTGATACCGCCTTTCTCTTTCCTGCCATTGAAAACCTTTTGGTTAATATTCTTTTTGTAATATTTTAAAGAATTAGATAATTTTTTAAAATTAAAAAAATAATTTTCACACATTAAGTGCTTCATCTTAAATATCTCCCCCTTAAGCACATCGTTCCCTCCCCCCCCCCCCGCTGTACATGCTTTCGACTGGATTTTTCTTTTTACATTTTGCAGTAATTTTTAGAAAAGTTCTTTCTAGTGCAGTTTACGATGACGATATTTTCCTGCTTTTTCTTTTGCTGTGTTGGCACAGGCATTGTGCTTATTCTGTTGCAAGTGGTTCCAGTATTTGATCAGTTCGCTAGGCTGGAACTGATGGGAGGTAATTAGATGACTATATTTACAGCTGGAATAAGAAACCCGCCAGTGATTGAAGACAAACTCATTGGGTGGGGGCATTGGGTCAATTCTCAGTTTGGCAAGACAGATGCCTACATATACATCTTCTAAATGCAACCGTCTGATACTCAGTGAAACCTTAAAAATTCTTCCCGCTAAATCTCCAGAAAACACATAGCCAGTTCCAGAGCAGAATACAGGGTAGCGTTCGCTTGGGTACAGATCAGGTGGCATGTACCACTTACTGTCTTTGTTCCGATTAGGTGCATACCCCCTCATTAGATAGCCAGTAAAGTATTTTTGCCGGGGAGGCAGCTCTGGCTTCAAAAGCTTATGTATTAAATACTCTGTATTTACAAACATGTCGCTGTCAGTTTTCATAACATATGGAACGTTTGGGCAGTAGGTGGCCACCCAGTTCATCCCCATGAGTGTTTTAATTGTTAAGTTGTAATAAGTATCCAAGTATTCTTGTTGGATAATATCATGGTATTGCCTGCTTTCTTCTAGGATGGCTTGCTGAAGGTATCCATTTAATTTAATACTTAAACCTAGCAAAAAAATCCGAACTATTTGAATTCCAGGTGCCAGGCTTTCATTCCCCCAGGTTTGCCTGATGGCTTGCCGAGGTTCCACCTGGCCTGGTTCTGCAGCTATAAGAAGTATTAGGAACGGACTTGATTCCTGGCATTTTTCAGGCTCATTGATGATGTATTTAAAATGATATGTAGCTGGATGCCCAGTTCCTTTTGCGTTGTATATACTCCCATTAGCACTGAGCGTGTTCTCTAAACCAGTAACTCCCTGAGGTGACGCTCCTGTATCATTGGAATTAATCATCTGTGGCCTCAGGGTTTGAGGGACTGCATCTTTCCAAATGGTCCTTAAAGAACTGTGGTTTGTTTCACTTTTTGTTGATCTAAATCCTCGTGTAGTATATGCCACAGGGTTTTCTTTGTATCCAACTCTCCCAGGCAGCCAATCATGGTGATTAAAAAACAGAAATATAGCAAAAAGGAACACAAGAGAGAGTAGACCAATGAAGTGTGTGCGAAAGAGAGACCGTTTGGTATTCCAGGTCATCTTGGCAAAGCAGCAATGCCGCCTTCTCCACTGAAGCATGTTGTAAGTATCCAATAATGGATATGAGAATGATTGAAGGAAATGCTTTCTTTGTTGGGATCCACTGCTATTTCATGGAATTCATCTTGCGTCTTTTATAGGCAGATGGCTAGTGACTGGCAAGCTCTGCAAAAAATCAAATGAGATTTAAGTGAATAGCTTTTCAAAGGTTGCTTTCATTTTATAAGGAGCATATGAAAAAGAAGAAGGGTTTTTAAGAGAAAGAGTAAACAATGTTAGTAACTTGTGCACTATTGTTAATTTTTCAAATTATTTCTTATTTATTGGTTTGGCATCCAAACCATCTTGGTTATTTATTCCCTTTTTACAGTTGGTAAGTTAGCTCGCAAATTTTCTTGATTACTTCTAAGCCCTGCAGGTTTTGAACTCATATTCTTCAAATCCATACCCAGTACTTGCCCAGTTTGCTGTTTTTAAGCTTTTGATTTGTTCAATCTGTTTTAAAAGCTATAAGAGTAATATATGGTACCGATACAAAAGAAGATTATGTGCCTGTGGTTTTAAAACTTTCTATCTTCAAGAATCCCTTTTGTATCTGCCACTGAAGTTCTTGGGTATAGTTCTTGTTACTTTTTTTTTTAAGTATTTTCTAATAACAGGGTTGCTACAATCCCATATACTTACTTATTGGGATATATGTTTTAAAATAGGTTTGCTTGGAGCAAGATGATTAATGACTTGAGTCAAACCAACATACAGGTTCTCGGTAAAGATCAAATATAAAGAACTTGGTACCCACTGGCAGGAATATGTGAATTAATTAAAGCTAATTTGAATGCATTACTAGTATGATTCACAGTATCTAGTCTCAGTGTCTCTTGGGAAATTGTCATACATTGATAGAGGGGCAGTCGTAAATGATTGATTATAGCAGAATCCTGTTAGTCATAGTATGTTGCTTGGCTAGTTTCCATTGGCCCCTCCTGTGTCCAGAAAGTCAGTGAGAATATGCACTTTTTAAAATTAATTTTCAGGATGCAAATAACGCACTTAAATATCCTTCAGAACCAACAAATATTGAACATTTTGATTCATAAGTGGTTTTAATCCTTTTAAATGTGCTTAAAAGGTTATAATAGAGTTGGATATTATTTTCTTTACATGATTATATTATACTCAAAAAATCACATTAAATAACCCCTTCGCTTCTAAAAACTGTTGCAATTCATTTGGAATTTTAACTGTATACTTGCACATACAGACCCGTTCCCTATGCATTCCTAGAAATAAATCAGTCTTCATAGAAAAGATACACATATCAGATACTATAAGCAATATTTAAATATTATTGGTAGGTCATAACTAAAATTTTATAAAACATTTCTCACTATTACTTCATTTTTGTATTCGTGAGTAAAGGTAATATGGAAGTTTCATGATACTGCATATTAAAACTCAAATATTATCCTCAACTGAGCTTTTTTTAACACAATGCAAATTGATTTGTGATTCCACACATCACCTTTCTTATTTGTTTTAAATGCTGGGGCTCTGAGCAGGAGGAAAAGTCATATGTACATTTTTAATAAGAAATAATACTTTTTAAAATGTAAATTTACACTATAATTAATGACTTTGTTGCCTCTTAAAGCCTATTTCGACATTTTCTTTTTCATTTAAAAGAGTACTGTTTTGCATGGATGGCATATTCAATGTCAGTTTCTCATTTTAAAAATGTGATTGAGAGGGATTATGATGTTAAATTAGCCTTAAACATGGTGTTATCTCAAATAGGAACTTAAATATGCAGTAGCAAAAACAGTTGGAAATAAATGGGAATGCAGTCTTTTAATTTTTTCAGTAGACATTAAGGAAAATTCAGTACAGTATGGAATACATGTTAAATCTTTTGGTGTCTGAAAAGAAGTATTTTCTGTCATTCAGAACAAAAGCTCCAGTTAATCATACTAACTACCACTAGGAGGAGCAAGTAGTAGGCTTAGCTTTGAATTGTAGGTTGCTGTACATCTTTGTAAAACTTATACCATCCTTGAGCTATAAATGAAAATTCTCAAAACTCTTTTCTCTGGAACAATAAATATCCTATTAAACTAGCCCCTTTGAACTTGAAAGGCTTCAAGTTTAAACATCCACAAAAGCCCTGGATCAATTCTAACATTATATTTTAATAATTTCTGATTTATAATTTACATTTTTTAATTTAAAAATTAATAAATTAAAATCACCTTTTTGGATGATTTGATTGTATATTAATATGTATTAATTACTTGAGATAGTTAACTGGTGCAACTATATGGAGGACACCGTAAAGACTTCCTCTAAGCTTATGCCTTTTTAGAATTAGATTTTATTTGAGCTAAGTTTCCTGTATTTAAGTATTTAAATATGATATTTATTCATTACAGCCACATCCTTAGTACACTTAATAGTGCACAGAAAAGGACAATCTTTTGTTCTTAAAAGCATATGTCACTCAATTATATTATAATAAGGTGCTTTAAATATTGATATATTACATTATATCCAGTCAAATAATACATAAAATACTTAACATAATCCTAGCTGAAAACAATTACATTAGGTTTGTAAGAAAATTAGCAATTATATCAGTTACTTAATATTTTTGCATGTATCATGTTACAATTTTGTAACAAGGGAGGGCACTTATTTTAAGATTTTAATATGCCTACAATGTAGTTAGTATAATGTGTCAAGATACATAGATGCATGTACATTTTAAAGTTGGTTTCTCCGCAGAATACAAAATGTTTACTAGTTTAGGATCCAAAACACTGTGGCATCACATGCACTCTGGATCTTTCTCAGTTTCAAGCATCGCCAAAGCCACTCTTGAGGGTCAGGAAACTACATGGTACTGAGATAAACAAGAATGGAGCTGTGAAAGCTAGTGCTTGCTCTCATATCATAAGTGGGCCACTTTGGATCATGGCCTACATTAAAAAGCTATGCTGAATGCCTCCTCAAGTTTCAGGTGCTCAGCTCAGATTGAATACTAAATTGATGTTATTTTGTTTTGGTTATGGACTTGCATATTTAAGTTGCCCATAATTTATTTTTATCTCTTGAGAGCTCCAGTCAGTACTCAGAATATTTGGGAGGGAAATAAGGAAAAATGAAATTTGATCTATTAAGCAGGGCAAAAATTTTAATGTCTGTATTAAAGAGGGCCTGATATTAGTTTTGACATACCTGCATTGAGACTTACCAGGTGGGGGAATCTTCATTAGTCATTTTAAAATCCTAATCATTTAAATAAAAATCCATGGAATGTAAAGCAACTTATTTTTTGACTAAGGGTTTTTAAACATTATATATGATAGATATTTAAAAATACATGTTCTCAGGCTGTTTATTCTATTCTTGTAATTTACCTCACATTTTGTCCTATTATTCTCTCAAAACCAGATTTATTTATTTTTCTCTGTATTATTATACACATTTATGCTTAATAGTTATTAATGATTTAGCATTAGTTGTTGGCTTGGGTTTTGGAAGAGAAGGACTCAAGCAGTAAAGCAGTATTAAAATTTCAATAGACTGAGGTCTTCATTTTTTATTGCAGATAAGTAACCTGTGTTTTTTCCAGTAAGCATTTCATACAAAACCATCAAGTTTAATTGATTATCAATGCTGGCAATTTAATTGTTTAATAACAGCTTTTTATTACTATACAGCCCAAAACATCACATGCTACTCAAAACTTATGATGATGTGATATATACCCCCATCTTGAAGGAAACAGTATATTGATGCTTCCTTCTGAGAATTCTGATGGTTATTGATATTTATACCCAGTTGATCCTGACGCTCAAATCCCAAATCACTATCCTTTTCTTCGGAGCCCTTTTAGAGGATTGTGTATGTCAAATCAGGTGTGGCTGCTAATAATAGTCAGATGGCACCCAGTGTTAGGGACTGAGGGAGTGAATCAAACCTTGAAAGGTTGAAGATGCTATTGAACTTACTGGACTGCCTAAGTCTGCTCTGATGGTTTTCAGAATATGTCACATAATAGCTGTGTTACTAGTGTTACTCAAACTAGTCAAATTGTTCCTAGTTTGATTACCTGATATTTTTTAAGACAGAGAGGATGAAGGAGATTTTTTTATATAACTCAGTTATTGCTATTAGTCTTTCTTTGCCTGTCTTTCTCATTTTTCTAATCTCCCCAGTCTTAACAGTAGATTACAGGTGAGGGTTTTCTCAATAAGCACATTTCAATCCAGTCACATTTTTAGCAACTGTGCACACAAAAAGCCCTGCGTATATATACATTATATAAATATATACATTAACACAGTTAATCATCCATGGAAGCATTAACTCTGACTTCTAGGTGAGTGGATGACAATGCTGTCTATTCTGTTAAGAAATTATGCACTTGGATGAAATATCATACAATGATTTAACATACCTTCCTTGTTCAGGCCATTTGTAGCATGAAAAGATTGTGACCACTGCAAGTAGTTTTGGCACACCATCCCTTCAGCCAAAAAGATGCTATCAGCCATGCTTTCATCTCCCTCCCCCCAACAGCCTGCTGCCCGAGACTGCTTTTCAAGGTATCCACTGTGTCCATCTGTATGCTTCCTGTTCTGCTTCCTTCCCGGATCACCAATCTGCTTGTCTTGATTTTTCTGTGGTCATCTCTCAAGAGACGGAAGCAGCACTTCTAGCTTCCATCCTCGCAGACATTGTCTGCTGCTGCTGACAAAAGAAGCATTGAAGCTTTTACAGTTGGTGGTTCCCTTCTTGGACAATGCAGTGCTGTGTTCTCTCTTCAGTATCCATATTTCTAGTGGCGATGTGAGGCAAAGCAGCAAGAACTAGCTAGAATCAGGAGCTGTTCTCCGACATTTGATAATAAGATTTAGCCCACTTTCTTCATTGTTGCTAGGCAGTAACCCAAAAGGATGAGTTGAAAGATGTGAGGAAGAAAAGGGATTTAGCTGAAGGTTTTGTTCGCAAAAATCCAATCCGTAGTTCCTCAGCTGCTGCACAGGAAGGCAGCAGTTTAAATGTGGGCTTTTGACAGATGCTGTCTTCTGACGGAGCAGAATTTCACGTCATTGCTTGCCTATGTCCCACGTGACAGTTTGCATTCATTCGGACTAAATCT